TCGGGACACACATTCTTGACTTGACTTTGGAATTGCATGTGTTGCGGTGCAGTGCTTCTGTGCTGCCGGGAGGGATCGCTCCCTGAAAACGGTCGCCGAGGTTCTCCCTCGAGGCCGTCAACAACGGCACCCGGCTCTACCCCCCCTGAATGGCTTCAAGAAGACCCAGACATCCCCCCTGAGGGCCCGAAGAATAGAGCGCCGCGAGCGCTCCGAAGCTCCCCAAATGACCCCGACATTCAAGGAGCTTCCTATACACTCACTGAGCGACAGACCCATGAAGGTTTTCCTGGTTGACTCCTATCGCCGTCGTCATCGTCGTCGTCGCCTTCTTCCTCCCGCACTGTCGTCATCGTCCTCAACCCCATCTTCCTCCTCCTCCTCCTCCTCCTCTTCCTCCTACTCCTCCTCCTCCCCCTCTGCCCACGTAACGTGCACCAAAAATCCAGTGGGAACGCGCTCCGTCACCCCCTCATCCTCATCCACCTCCTCATCCTGGATGCTCCTCCCGCGTGCCCCCTCCTCCTCCTCCGCCCAAACCCCCTGAGCCAGCAGCAGCGGCGCCAACCCGACCTGCATGAGGTAGAGCTCGTCGCTGAGCAAGCTCTGGCCACCCGCGTAAGCATCGGCGGTCGCCCCGCTCCCCGCAGCGGCCAGGGCTCCGCACCTGGGCCCGCGCCGCGGCGAAGGAGCCGGCGGGTGGACGAGGACGAGGAGCGCCGGGCCGCCAACGACGCGGGGAGAGCAAGTGGGCGGGGGGCTCCTGCGCCTCCTGGCGCTAGAGGCGCCGGTGTCCATCGAGGAGGGAGCCTGGCGGCAGGACCGAAGCAGGCAGCGTGCAGCAGAATTCGCGCCCCGCCTGTCCCCGTCCCCTCCTTCCGTCCGGCCCGATCCTCCCTCCCCCCCTCCTGGCCCTCTCCTGCCCCCCCCCACTCCGCAGGAGCAGAGGGTGTTCGAGGCGGGGCCTCCCTCTTGCGAGCGAGGCTCGGACTCTTCCTGGTCGCCAACCTCCCCCTGCCCCCTCCTCCCACTGCCCCTTCCGTCGGGGAGTGCCGCTCCTGACGCCACGGAGTCAGACCAAGGGCCCGCGTTGTGCGCCCCTGGGGGCGGGGGGGGCTTTCCTTCGAGTTGGCATCGGAACTGCCTTGGATGTTCCGAGGGACATTTGCTGGCTGAAGACGCTGGCGTCCCCACGAAACGAGGGTCAGAGAAAAAGGGCCCCACTTCGTGACGCGGACCCTGCTTGACCATGGCGGGACCTCAGGGCGACTGTGATGCCTGCCATCGGGGGGGCCGAAGAGGGGGGCCAGGAAGTGGAGGGGTAGCGCAACATGGCCCGAGGCATGTGCGTGGACGAGAAGCAGGGGCAACTCCTCCTCTCCTCCTCCTCCTCCTCCTCCTCCTCCTCCTCCTCCTTCTCCTCCTCCTCCTCCTCCTCCTCCTCCTCCTCCTCCTCCTCCTCCTCCTCCTTTTCCTCCTCCTCCGTCTCCTCCTCCACCTCCTCCTCCCCCTCCTCCCCCTCCTCCTCCTTCTCCTCCTTCGCCTCCTCCTCCCCCTCCTCCCCCTCCTCCCCCTCCTTCTGCTCCTCCTCCCCCTCCTCATCCTCGTCGTCGTCCTCCTCCCCCTCCTCCTCCTAGAGGGAGCCATGGTGCACTAGAGATCTCATCGCCCCTCGCGCCATGACACCTAGGCCTCCTAATGTGAGATCAACAGCAATAAACATTAAATATGGAAGCCAAAGTTATCAATGCTTGAGCGGCCCAAGATCGCTGGAGCCACGTCACTCGATATCACACGAATCATAGCAGGCAACAACACCTGAAACGCTGGCGCGGTGTCAGAATACAGAGGGGGGGGATCGCCGCCGGGACCGCTGTTCCCCCCCCCTCCCCTGAGAGAGGACGGGTGGGGAGCTTCCTTTTTCCGCCACCGCGACTCGAGGTACGTAATGGAGTGCCCCAAGGCTGCTGCGGCCCCGAAAGGGAAAGGGTCTGTTTGAGTCCCTAAGGGGCCGGGCCCCTGCTTCCCCAGGCGCTTTTGCGGCGATTCCTCTGTGTTTCGCGTAGGCCTCCAGGACGGTGGCCCTGCCCAAAACGACACAGAGAACCTTTCCTGAGAAGTGCCTGAGAGGGTCCAACAGCGCCCAGGAACGACTCCAGAGTCCCAAAACTGCCTGCCCACGATGCTCTCCAGACGGCCCGCGAGGCTCCCAAGAAACCCCACGAGGACTCCGAGAGACCCCCCCATGAGGGCCCACAGAGGCTAGAATCCGCTGTTCCCCGTGGTTTTGCAATAATCCCCGATTTCCATATAGTTTTTGCAAAGTTTTTAGCGCTCTCGCCTCTTCAAGCTGCCGACGCTCCATGACCGCCCAAGAGGCCTGCAAGATCGCCCCAAGGCGACCCAAGAGAGGCCCAAGAGGCCCCCAAGAGGCTCCCAAAAAGGTGGAACTCGAACAGATATTTCGCGCTCCCGCCTCAAGATGTCATGAGGCCCCCGAATGCCCCCCCAAATGCCCCCAAAACAACCTCCACGAGGCCCCAGGGAGGCCTCCCACGAGATCCCCGCAAGCATCCAAGAGGTCTCTGACCTACAACCTAGGCGCGGTGGCGCGATGGGCCGAAGGCCGTTTGACCTGGGCAGACATAAGAACAGAAAGAGCGCTTCAGGAACTTGCCCGAGATAGCTCATGGCACCCTTCGCTCTTGGGAGCCTGGGTACTAAGAGTTTGTTGCGTCAGCGCTCTCTGTTGGGAACCTTGGTGCTCAGAGACAGACTTCTACGTTGCCGCTCACTCTGGGGACCCCTGCAGTTCAGAGTTGTTGTTAGTCACGGCGCTCTGGGATGCCTTGGTGTTTAGAGCTTGTTGCGTATCCGCTCGCTGTTGGGAGCCATGGTGTCACGTGGCTGCCGTAGAACTGCCGCCGCTTGAGGTCCCTGTGGACTGTCCCTGAACCTGATGATCCGTGCCCAAGGAAACATGTGTAAGCGATTGGGTACGGTATGGAGGATGTTTTTGTCTATCCCTTATCTCTTGATATGCGTGATCCGCCGAATCGACTGCGGAGGCAGGGCCGTCCAGTGCCGGCGTGGCCGGGACCTGCCGCGACTGCCCCTCGCCCGAGAGCTCGCCGCCTCTCCTGCGCAGGCGCCCGACAGCTTCCCGCGCCCGCGGCGCGAGGCCCCGCGCCTGCCACGCGACAGGCGGCTGCCGCTCGCGCAGCAGCGCGCCGCGGTGGCCGCGTCGAGGCCTCCGCCTCAAAGGGGCGGACGGGCGAGGCGGGAAGCTCTCGCGCCCGCGGCGCGAGGCCCCGCGCCTGCCACGCGACAGGCGGCTGCCGCTCGCGCAGCAGCGCGCCGCGGTGGCCGCGTCGAGGCCTCCGCCTCAAAGGGGCGGACGGGCGAGGCGGACAGCGCCCGTTTCTCTGGGCAGCGCCCGCAGGAGCAGAAGGATGGCGACTGGGCGGCACGGGCTCCCCTTGCAGACATCAGGCAAAGGCCAACGCCATCGCCAATCATATCATGCAACCGCTTGCGGGAAGTGAACATCACGGCGGGCTTCAAAGACGGACACGGCGCCAGCTGGGGCCCACTGCAAGCGCCGCACGTTCTGTTCCCAATTCGCTGCGCCCGCTGGGCAGGGACAATCAGGGTCAAGCAACCGAGGGAACGGACACCAGCCGCTAGGACTGAAGAGGCCGTGCCTCAGGGCAGCACTGGCAAGGCCAGCGCCGCCCCCTTAAACAGCGCACACGGGTGCGCGCGAGCCGCTGCGTCACCTCTGATAGAGCAGCTCCGACGCTGAGCGCCGAACCTACCCTATACGAGGAGGTGGACGCGGCTCGCGTCCAGGGAGGACCCTGTCCCTGAACCGAGCCTGGCTCGCGGACGCAGCACCTTCAAAAGAGGCAAGAAACCTGCGCCAGGACAGGGCCTCGATCTGACAGTGCGCCGCGCAACGGCGGCAGGCAAGGTACCGACCTCTGGCTACAGGATGTGACCCTCAAGCTCAGAAGCGGCAGGGGCCCCATCGGGGTCTAAGCGGAGGCCTCGATCCCCAACTCCCAGAGGGCAACCTGAACGGCATGACTACCTACCAGACCACCCCAACCCAACCCGAAGACCCGAATTTCGGGTTGGGGGGGTCAGGGTTCCCCATGTGTTGTTTCGGTGTTCCCCGCCCCGCCCCACTGGAAATGGAGGGCAAATTGAGGCCTTCGGGTTGGGTTGGGGTGGTTTGGTAGGTGGTGACGGCATCACACCGAGCCCTGGGGAGTGTTCCTCCGTGTCTCCAGGCACACACGGCCGCGAGGTGCAGGTGGAGCGCGGTCGGCCTGCAACTTGCGCCAGGCCGCTCCAGCGTTTGCCCGCTCAGAGGCGTCCGCGCAGAGCTGTGGCGCTACGTACACCTCACCCCCCCCGACGCCCCCTCCACCACCTCCAGATCGTGCGAAAGCAAAACGGGTTGGGGAATAGAATCCCCGCGCGCTCCAGATGGAATCGGCGACTCTGGTGCTGAGGCGGCTGCATGCTGATCAATCGCTGCGGCCGAGCCTAAATCTGGCATTCGGTAGCGGAAAGAACCAGATCACTCGACCCTCTTCTTATCTCAACAACAACTCCCTCTTACTCCCCGCCACCGAACCCCAACAACAATGAGGATATCTGAAGCCATGTTGGAATTATCTTAGGCGGTCCTGGACTTTCTTGGGGCGCCTTGGGGCGTTTTGTACCCCTGATGGACCTTTTTGGGCCGTCCTGGGGACCTCGTGGGCGTGTCCTGAGCCGTATGGGGCGCCACTTGGGCCATCTTGGGCCACCGGAGTGCGTGCTAGACTGTGCGACCCCCCCGCACCCCACCCCACCGGAGCGCCCCTTTCTCGCCATCGTTCGGACGTCCATCCCCTGTGCGAATTTCAAGTTTCGTGCGTGTATCTCCAGCGAGGTGACCAAACATTTATGGCGTTTCCAATTTGTTGTTTGCGCTGTAATGTGCTTCA